CTTTTGTTTTAAATACTAATTTCATATATTATGTAAACATGTGCCAAACAAAATTATATTAACCTACTTACATTTTTAAAATCATGATTATAAAAACACAGAAATAGATATATGTCTTGCATTGGCTACCATAGACAGACTCTTTGTCATGCTGCATGAGGTTTTTGAATCAGTTGCTCCTGGGGCCTCTAATCCTGAAGGCCTCAGCAATAAGGAGTTCACTGGAAGAGTCAGGAGCAGCTGCAGACCAAGTGGACAACACAGAAACTTCTGTAACCTTAATGATGTGAAGCCCACAGTTGAAGGCATCACCTCTCCAGTGACCCTGGTTGTGGCTGTTAAACAGAGACTGTAGCGATGACGTCTTCAGCCATGAACAGGAGCTGTTGGTGTCTGCAGCCGTGAGGGGGGGAACCAAACGTGGCACCTTGGCTACAAAATGAGCGGCTCTCAGTATGTGGCATCTTTGGCTCTGAGGAGAACCGATCAAGTAAATGAAAAACATCTGTATTTATACTACTGTACTATATTAAACTAAAAGAACAGGTATTTATATTTGATTAGTTAAACTTAGCTTCAAATACACTGTGTACATAAATACTTACCATGAACTGGATAAATTAGGCTGTCTTTTGTTTTCTAAAGACTGATTAAACACTTAAGAATTTACATATACTAGGCTTAAAGGCACAATAACACAAACAGCCTGTTTACAGCTTTATATCCTTCTACCAAAAAACATAGATATTGCAGGTAATTTAATACTGCATTCTGTGGTATCTAGGAAAGAACTTAAAATGCTGATGTTTATTTTCTCATGAAGTTTGTTTTCTCCTTAAATTGGACAAATTGTCTATTGAAATCGCAGAAAAAAAAGATTTAAAATGCGAACACTCTGTGCCAAATTAACCTGTAATAAAGTGCATTTATAAATTACGAATTGATTATAAAAGCAGAGAAATAGCCAATGCAGGACATATTTCTATCATGGACAATGGTTACACCATATGATCTTGACAAGTTTGACAAAGTCTTAAGTTTTTGAGTCTTACAAAGAAAATCTTACAAATCCAAGGGTGCCTGGCCTGACATGCTGCTGTTTGATGCCATCTCCAGTCACTGAATTGATTAACCTCTCCATGGTTTAGACCTTTTCAAGGCGGGCTGTAAAGGTACCACCATTCCAGAGATCCTGTTTACAGTTAAAGGTGTGTTCCTTTGAGTCATGCTTGCAGCATAAAGCACTAATATTAACTGGCCTGAAGCAGCTCCTCAGACATCGAATGGCTTCCCACTGACTTGGCCCTTTCCATGACCATGCCTATAAGTGCTGTCACTCCACTTTACATGCTCGTGGCTGCAGGTTCTGCTGCTCCAGAAGTCATGAGCACAGCTGAAGGCATCTCCACTTCTCTCTATTCTCCCTCCTAAATGAACCTCCACTTCAAAGCATTTGGCCACAGCTAAAGGCATTGCTACTATCGTTTCCATGCCTGCATCTGATGGCAGTGTCCTGGTTTGTGGCTGCAGGAGCCACTACTTCAGAGCTCCTTTCATAGCTGTCACTCTTACAGTTTCTGCACATAAAGGCACCAGTGCTCCAGAGCCCTGGTTAGCAGCTGACAGTGCCATCCCTCCAGTCGAAGTGCCTGTGGTAAAACTGCAGCCCAACATGCAGATGCCACTGGGGCCTTCACTCGGCCTTCAGAGCTCCAGCCTGGAACTAAAGACATGATCGCTTCAATCCTTGTGTGTTCCTGAAAGCGCCGCCACTTTAGAACTTCCTCCTTGTCCATGAGTTTGCTCTAATGTCTGTGCTCATAGCAACATGATGCAAATCTTCTGCCCAAACTTGAAGGCACTGCCAGTATAGAATTCCTAACTGGAGCTAAAGGCATCTCCACTGAAGATGACAAAGGTCCTGCTTGTGACAGCCAGTACAGCCAGTCTAGTCTGTAGCTAAAGTCACTCCACTGCCCCTGCTCACTGTTAAAAGTCTCTATGCCTGCAGCTGAAGGCGCCACTGCTCCAGTACCACTGAAGGTGGTGGTCTGTGGCACTGCTATTACCACCTCCAAGACTGTTACCACTCCAGAGGCCTCCACTTGGCCTTCAAAGATCCTGCTTGTAGCTGAAAACATTGCCACTACGATCCCTGTGCACCCACCTGAAAGCAGTCCCACTCTATGACTCCTTCCCACAGCTAAATGTGTCCCTGCTCTTGTCAGAAGATGCTGCTACTGCAATAAACTTAAATATTGCACTTTGGTTGTTGCTCCAGATGTCCTGTCCACAGTTAAATATATCAGCAATACAACCTCCATGCTTATTCCCAAAGACACCACCACTCCAGACCATGTTTATGCAACTGAGGCATTTTTACTACGATCTCTATGCCTGTGCTTGAAGGCCCTGCAAGTCAAGAATTCCTGCCCGCAACTGAAGTCATCACTGCTGAAGGTGCTGAAGGTCCTGCCTCGTCTGAGTTTCCTGTTAATCCAGAAGGATGCTGCAACTGGAAGCCTGTAACTGCTAAAGTCTGCACATACCGAAAAGCACCGCCACTCTACAAGTCCTTCCTGCAGCTGAAAACGGCACCTCTCCAGGGCTCATCATCATCACTGCGACTCCAGTGCTTCTTCTCACAGATGCAGGTGCTGCTGTTCCTGCCAACAACCAATGGTTTCCTCTACAGTCACCATGATTGTGCTTTAAGGTGTCACCACTCAATAACTCCTCCTCATGACTGCAGGTGCTACTGCTACTGCCCATAACTGAGGGTTTTGCTGCATGTCTCCGCACCTGTGCCTGAATGTGTCCAGTGTGACAGCTCACAGTTGAAGGCACCATCTATAGCTGATGACGTTGTTGCTCCACTGTCTAAGCCTGTAGCAGATGTTGCCAGCATTCCACTTCCTCTGCTTATAGCTGAAAGCTCCACTGCTGTGCTCCAGTCTCTGTACCCTCAGCTCTAGTCTCAGTGCCAAATGCAGCCAAATGCATTACCACCACCCAGCCTGCAGCTGCTCCTGGTGTTTCCACTTAGCCTCCAGAACCTCTGTCTATACCAGTAAACATCATCACAACAGTCTGTGAGTGCATAGCATTGCTGCTATAGAATACCATCCTGCAGCTGAGTGTGCCACCGCTCCAGTGCTCTTGCGTATGGTTGTAGGTAACATTGTTCCAGAGCTCCTGTCCACAGCTGACATCTTCATCTCCACCATCTCCAGTGTCCGTGTAAATGCCTGAAGGTGCCATCATTGTAGCAGTCCTGCACAAATCTCCACCACCACACTAGAACTTCTGCCTAGTGGCACCAGCACTAGTCTTGGCTCCATATCTCTATTTTTCTACCAAAAACATTGCAACTACAGTATTTTTTCACCTGAAGGCATCACTGCTCCAGAGGTCCTGCTTGTTCTGCAGAAAATCTTGCCTCTACAGTCTCTGTAGTCACTGCCAATGTACAGTTCCTACCCACAGCTGAAGGTTTTGCCACCACCACAAGTGAAGCTCCACTTCCCAGTGTCCTTGCTCACAGTTGTTTCTGATGACACTGCCGCCTCATTGTCTGAGCTCCATTTTCCATTTGAAATCTCCACTATTTAAGTCTTGCTGCCTCCAGAAGACGCCTGCTTTATATATCACTATTACAAAATAACTGTGTACAGCGAAAATTATCACTGTTGCAGTGTTTTTGCTCTTACTTGAAGGGACCACAGGGCTCCTGCCCACCTAACAATTTTCCCTGTTTAAGGCCTGAGGGTCTGCCACTCCAAAAACATCACTGTTGCTTGGCCTGCTGCTCTAGGCAAAACAAAACTGTGCTGAGCCCTCGTCCAAACTCAAAAGGATGTATATCACTATTTTAATAAAATCAACAACCTATAATACATAAAAAACAGAGAAATGAATATCGGTCTCTATCACTGTCTCTAGCACTCTGTCCAATTACAATAATGCCCCTGAAATGCATACATAAAAGTGAATTTACACCACTTAGCACTACTATAACAAATCCAACAGCTACCTTAGCAAAAATTATCACTTCATCATACTGGTTTCTTAGATATTTAGTTGACTGTGAATTAAAAGCCTGGTACGCATCTATAGCGGACTACACAAATGAATTGTTATCCCATTAGAATGCTCACTGACCAAATACAAAAAATTACAAAGAAAACATCACTGTTGCCTGGCCTGCTGTCGCTCATGGTGCCTCTACTCTGCATGGCAGGTGCCCCTGACCCAAGACTTGAAGGCACTGATGCTCCAGAGCTATTGGCCACAGCCAAAGACATTGCTATCATGAACTTTTTGCTCGGACCTGAAGGCATTCCTGTTCCAGAAGTTCTGCCTGTGGATGAAAATATCACTGTCAGTCTCACAATATCTGTCCTCGATCCTGTCTTGATTAAGCTCCTCCTGTTCCTCAGCTCCTGCTGTGAACTTGGTCTCAGCTTAGGGCTTAGCCTTGTTGGAGTTCGCTTTCGCTCCTCAATAGCTGCATATTTGGTGGTTCACGGTTTCCACTCGGGAGGTCCCACCCATTTCTCTCTCCACCTCGGTCTTATCTTGTGGTCACCCTAGCTCCGTCCTCTAGCCAATGTGTTTACGTCATTCATCTGTAATCCCTCCTGTTAATTATTGTGTCCAGCTGTTCCTTGATTCCTGTCTCTGTATTTATATTCTTTGTCTTGCATTTGTTCCCTGTTGAGGTTGGTTAATGTCATGTGTCCTGCTGTTCCTCTAGTGTTACTTGATTTATTTTACTTCATTGGCCTTCCCATCTCTTCTCTGTGTTCTCCATTTTGTCATTATGTACACCCGATTTTTAAAATACTCACCTACTTGTCTCCTTTTGCGCTGAAGAATGGTGTGGGTGTTGAGTAGTTTTGGTTCTTTAATGTAATTTGAAAAAATAAAAGATGCTAAAACTATGTGAGTCTGAATCTTTTCACTGTTCCCTTCCATCACCCTTTTCCCAATTTGATCCTTCAATGATCTGTTCCATTCTTCAGGGCAGTGAAGACGTCAGCAAAATACTGTGGGTCTTCGTTGATCTGCAGCATCTTGCCACTCATGCGCTTGGTGATGTCCAAAGTTCTCTTCCAGAAGACGGTGCTGTTGTCCTCCACTATAAAGGGCATGACTGGGTAGCCGAGCTCATGGCCGATGTAGGCGTATGCCACGTAGAAGCAGGTGAGCACCACAGCCTGCAGTTCCCTCATGCTGGATACCTCAGCCGAGACTGTGTCACGGCACAGCATGTACAGGAAGACCACGCTGCCTGGGACAATGAAGCACTGACGCTGGCATTTGCTGAGCAGCAGAAAGATGTCCACCATGCGAAGCCACATCAGAGGGTCCTCAGGAGAGAGGTCCTTGAGCAGGCGGCATCGGCGGCACAAGAACTCGCCCAACAATCTGAGCAGCTCATTGGTGGAGGCGTCCTTAAGGACCATCTCATGCGTGCTGGTAGCCTGGTCTGAGAGCACATCAGCACATGCGTCCATTGGTGTGGAGCTCACAGTTGGTTCGTGAGCTCCTGAAGAAGGGCCGGCACCAGACTGCTCTTTCCCCAGGTCTCGTGTGGTGGTGGTACGGTCAGTAACTCCCTCAACGTGATGTCCTGAGGGAAGTTTCAAGAGCTTTCTTCTCTGGGCTGAAAGAGCGTCAGGCGAGAGCAGACGGATGAACTGTTTCTTGCTCACTGTCGTCACCTCCCCGTGAACAGGCGTTGAGGAGACGTGGCCCATTTTTCTATCCACTGGTGTAATAAGAGGAAGATGTGTTAAAGATGTGGAATGTCTTGAGGAAAGATGTCCTGAAGATGAAAGTGGAATAGAATGAAGTGAAGTGAAAGTGGTACCTGAGGAGAAAAAGCAGATATAAATATTATGTCTTTTCTGAAATATTAGTAACCCTCTAATTCAGTATTTCCCAATCCAGTCCAAACTCAACTGTGGCCAGTTAGTCCATATTTTCAGTTTATCACATTTCCCATTTTACTTGTACCAAGCCATCGACAACTGAACCCCTGGTGTACCTGTGCTGGGAGGTGAAACACAGCCCTGGGGGATATTAAAAAAAAATAAGTACAATGTTTTCTAGTGAAAATACTGTGATTATCCATAATATACCCACCCCCCACCCCACCTGCCCAAAATACACGTGGTCTCTGGCAGTTCTGACCTACTTTCTACTCTATTTTCATCTATATGCCTTCTAATGAAAATCTTTAATAAAACTCACATATTATATAATGTGATTTTGAGTAACTCAACATCTTTTGAAAACTTCTTCATCTGTCATTTTAATAAATGTTGCTGTGACACTTGCGTTGATGAACTACTTCTGCTGCAGATTTGTTATGACTTGCATGCTAACAGCGCTCCCTGCTGGAGAAACTTCAGATTGCAAGTGATTTCCAAAGCCGTGCCCATGTGTTTTCCACCATAAAATCAAAGGGTTTTTTTTCATTACAGCGGTGTTTTCATGATTCAACTAACCACTGGGACTCTTAATCTGTACAGAAAGTACTGCACACCGGGCTCAGACGAGGACCAGAGGAACTTTCTCTTCAGGTTAGAGTTAACTGAGCTGCTCCACAGTAACTTTCAGTAATTTACGTTTGTTTTTTTACTGCAGCGAGTCACTTTGAGATAAGCTGTAGTTCCAAAGCATGTCAGCATTCATTTAGACTCCATTCACATAAAGTGAACTGAGGGAAATCTGTGTGGTAAAGAGAGCTTTATAGTGTACAGCAGCATTGAAGCCTGGGGTTACATGAGGACTGGGTTAGAAAAAAGGCAACTTTCAGATTTCATTTGTAACACTGAGGATATGTTTACTACTCTAATGACTTAGCCAGCTACAAGCTGTCCTTTCAAGTGTTGGATTTTAATGTAGATGTTGTGAAGAACTTCCATGCAATTTGTGCAGAAGAAGACTTTTGACCTCCATGTCATTTAAATGCAGTGTCTGTAGCCAGTGACACTGCAGACATGGAGGTTATGACCTTCCCACTTTCAAAGGAGTTTAATTTACATGCTTTTCTGCTGCTCTAGGCAAAACACAACTGTGCTGCCCCCAAACTCAAAATGATGTACATCACTATTTTCACAAAATCAACAATTTTACAATAGACATTTGTCTATATCAGCTTAATGTAGCTCTCTGACTCATTACAATAATGCCCCTGAGATGCAATGCGCGAAAGTGAATGTATACCACTGTTAGCTTAGCACTAGCATCACAAATCCAATAGCAGCCATAGCAAAAATGAGCTGATCACACTGGTGTATATAAATATTTAGTTGACTGTGAGTTAAAGGCTACAGCGGACTCTCCAAATAAATTATTATCTCATTAGAATGTTTATTCACCAAACGCAAAGAATTCATTCTAAATCGGGTTCTTAATTTAAACTATATGGAGCTTCTCTCTGCCGTTATGTTACTGAAGGCTGACTTATTTTGTACAATATAGTCTGATAACAGATTAAAGCAGCCATGCAAACGTAAAGCATGATGTTCCACTAACTTCATTCACCTTTGTGTTTACTCTGATACAGTCAGAAAATTAATAACATTACATGACAACGTTTAATTTAGAAACATTTTTCACCGTATAGATTTAGTTCATCCAATTACCGCCACTGGGATAATGCTAATTCCTCCTGGCGCCCCTAGTGGTACTGTAAACTCACATTTGATAGAAACTCCAGCTACTATCTTGTAACAGACATTCATGTTTTTACTTTAAAATTGATCAGAACTAATTTTATAAAGCACACTGACCTCCACAGAGCAGGAAGCTATTTACTAAAAAGGTGCTCAAACATAAAATAATGCAGGAAATACAAGAAACATACAGTGTAGCTGTTCTGTACCAACATAAACTGAATGGGACGTTTATTGAACTACAAAATCTTTTTGTCATCTATTATAAATGGGGGGCAGCTACACAGTTTGTAGCAGTATTTCATGCTGAATCATTTACTTTAAAAGTAACTACTGTTTATCCAAATACCATCAAACTGACGATGCTAATTTCAGGTAGTATTCTAATTGGATCTGTCAAGCACACGTGTGCAGCTAAAATTACAAACAGACAGTCAGAACAGTGAAAAGTTAAACAGCCAGATGATAAATTAAATATATTTAGTGGGCTTATGTCACTCTATGCAGTCTGATTATAACAGATTATAACACAGAAGACTGGAGACAAATTCACATGGAGAAAACAAAAGTATAAAGCACAAAGACACAAGAGACAAAATGATATAAGTATTATTTACACATCAACAAGAATCACAGAGTTAAACTCAAACACCACAGATTTCTCTGAATTCCTGCATAACTAAATGGTTTAGATGTAAACAAACTCATTCAGAGTGTTTTGGTGTGAAATGCTCAGTTTTAGTCTCAGAACTGTTCACAGTGGTGTTGATAGGAACCAGATGTCTGAACAGTTTAATGCCTCTAGAAGCTACATCACATAAAGTTATTATGGGAAATGATTATGAATAAGCTGCCTGATGCCTGAAACAGGGTTTTATGTTGGTTTTATGAGAATGTTTATATTTTTATGCCATGTCTTTATGGACCGGTGCATGTGTTACATGGCAAAACTAAAGAAAACGCTTTTTTCAGATTTTCAGACTTCATCATTATCAACATTACATATGAAAAGTCATAAGACACATAGATTCACTGATCATTTTGGATATTAAATAAAGTGTCCATATTTGCATTTAAAGAAATCTGAGTCTGTAATTTCTCTACAGTGAACCATTTCACATCAAACCACTCTGGATGACTTTGTTTATATCTGAACTGCTTACCTATGCAGAAATTTTGAAAAATGGGTGGAATTCCCCTTAAAGTCAATCAACATGCTATACTGTAAAGCATATACTACTATAAAGTCTGCGTCTGCTTGAGAAGATCTCAACTCTAAATTAAAATCAGGCAGTTGATATTTACACAGCAAAGTCAACAAAAACAAACTACATGAACAAACTCAGAAACCTGAACTGTCAGTCCTGAAGGCTAAAGCGTACTGACACAGCAGGCATGAAACATGTTCATGGACCTTTTAAGTAGAAGGAGACATTTGTATTTACATTCTGACTCTGTTCATTTAGCAGTTGAAGAACACTGTAAGAACCAAATTCACAAACCACTGACAACAATAATGTAGATTTTAACACGAGTGAACGTGTTTAAATATTGATTTTGAAAATGTTTAGAAAACCTCACATTCTACTCTGTCAGCGTTTTAAGTGATGCTGCTGCTTTAGAACTGAAAGCTTGAGGTAATGGTGGCTAGCAATGGTTGCTAAGCAGTAATTGGAGGGCTAGGAAAATGAGGTTGGGCTTGGGATCCACCGATTGGACTACATTCAGGTATGATGTGGGAAAATATAATGGAGTTGTAAATTCAAGTTCAGTTTTAGTTCTACAAATGTGTAGGGAATCTGCTGTGTAACGTGCATTTTTGCAGATAGCTAACAGGCTAACAAGCCTTCCAGTAATATTCAGAGTTAAGCTGTGAGTTGAGGCCTTTACTGAATAATTCTCTGAAAATTGCAACATACAAAAACAAACATGTCACTGAAAGTGTCTTATAAGCTTCAAATGTCTGTTTTAAAGCTAAAATTGCCATAAGTAGCATTAAACCCAGTTTGGATAAGTGGCAGCCCAATTTTAACCCATGTGGGGCCCACGAGGAAATGTTAGCTGGGAAGGAACCCAGTTTGACACCTCTGATCCAGACACTGTCTGTTTCATTTGCAGGTAAATAAGTGATGGTATGTTGTACGAATGTTTGAACACTGGTACTTTGAGGGGTTTCATGAGTACTTTTTCCACCCCGTAACATTGCAAGACAAAGCAAAGTGAATCTACAATATTAGCTGGCTTTATAAGTGAAAGTGGCTGAATTATCAGTTTACTATTCCTGTCTGTAAAATCACATGACAGGAACTTTGCGCCTGGTTAAAATAAGAGAGAATTTCTAGTGAGAACTGCCTCTCAGTAATGTCTACTGGGTTGGTCAGACACTATAGGGCGATCCTGAGAGAATCCAAAACGAATGGGTTCCTATGGAGCTTTTGTTCATTGTAATTTGTGAATGTATAATCCTTTAAAGCAAACAAATGGACTCAGTTTCTCAAAACAGAACTGCATAATGTATTTCAACACTCCTGTCATACTTTTGAAAGCTTTTTAATCCAGTTAGAGGACTTCATAACATTCATTCCAGCAGCAGAGCTTGTTTAAGGACCTTTCCCTCCATTAAACCAAATACATAATTACAACACTAGAGGGCGCCTTGAGTCCTCAATGAATGGGGGGTGAATTGAGCTAAATGACTATAAACACCATTAAATGTTTTTCTGGTCTTTCATACAGAGATTTTCATTAAAAGTGAAAGAATGAAACATTAAATAATTATCAAAAACTTGCCAGTGTCGTTATGCTTTTCTACAGCTAACATGTATTCAGTCGTGGGACGCTAGCACTGCTGAGTGCTGATTGGCTGGTGAGCTGATCAGTTCAGTAGCTAAAGGAAGCGGTTTGGCTTTGTTAGTGTTGAAGGTACAAGATCCCTAATCATAATTCAGTTTACTTGACCATTTTCAAACCTCTCTTCATCCCTTAGAATTAAACAGGCTGTGCCTTTAAGACTATTACATGTAAATGAGCTCTGTTCTGATTGGCTTTGTTCAAAAAGCAGTCCGGGCTGAAAC